GGCTCTGGCCTCGGGAGCAGCGTAGCTGAGTCATTGCTATGGTGCATCTGAGCTAAATAGCCCTCTGGGAAGCAGGATTTGGCCCTGGAGCCATACAGGTGGCACCTCCCCTCTCCCTCCCACTGAGCTCAGGATCTAGCCATGCCCCCTGCCAGAGTTTGTTTTTCTTTCTGGAGAAGTCTGTTGTCTCTCCTTTTAGGAACCCCCTGAGTTATTCTCTCCTCTGAACTGGAATTGTAGCTCTTCCTCCATGTATCCAGGTGGCTGTTTCTCTGAGTTAATGAATTAGCTTCCCTGAAATCAAATAGCCTTATTTCACTGTGAATGGGCTCATAGACACAGGAGTAGGTAAAAACATGCAGCACAGCCTGTGCTGAGGCTTACAGTCATGCCCCATGGCGTATTGGCGTGATGTCACCAGGATGGCTTTGGAGCAAGGGGCTGTGCTGGGGCGTTGGTGCAGCCGAGCCTGGTACAGCCCGTGAGCTCCGCTGCCCTTCCTGCAGCCTCCTGCTTGCCTGGGGCTGCCGTGGTCCAGCGCCTGCCTCGGTTACCCTCTCACCATGACTGACTTCAGTTGATGGACAAGAAGAACAGTGAGAACATACTAGTGAGAAAGTACTAGTAAGACTGCTGCTGCATAGTCTCTGATATTGAGGTTCTGCTATAATGGGCAGGGAAAAAAGGCTCATAAATATCCGAATTAATTTTAACTAAGCAACATGACATTTTAGAGGAGTGGCTGTGCCTTCTTTTCTGATATTTTTTGAAAGCCTTCATTGCAGTTTATGCAAAGAATAAGAAAATCATAGTGGAAAGAGGAACTTTTTGCTTCCCTGAAGTACTGTGTTTCCCTAGATTGTCCAAACTATTCCAGTTTTCTTCTTTTTTATACCTAACACTATTTAAATTCTGCCATAATATTTATCCACTCTTGGTATTTCTGCATCAATATTTGAATTACCCGATTAATTTAATTCCATGGTATGCTAATGAAATGACAGAAAACCAACTAACCTGATGGTAAAAAGCGCACCTGTGTATTCTGGATTTGAACCTGAGCTGTGGATGAATCATGTCATACAGCAGATAGTCATTGCTAAATTGCTAAATTGCTGAGTACAAAGATGCATTGTGTGACTCACTCGCTGTGTTTCTACTACCATTATAAACTCTGAGAGCACTTCATGAATAACAGAGAGTCAAGAATTAATTCATCCATGTTTCACTCTGTAACCATCTATTATAAATACTGAGCCAAATTCTGCCTCCAGATACACACAGCTTTCATTGAAGCCTGCCCACTCTATTTATTTTTAAAGATAAAAGCACTTTTGTAACTTTCACAGAGGACTTCTGTGACACGGTCCATTGTAAGGATGTGAATATCCTTCCTCAAGAGCTTCAAGTGAAGCAGGGAGTGTCTGCCTGGAACAGGGAAGGGCACTTCAGGGATAATAGCCTCCAAACTGTGGCGGTGGGATAATAACCGTTACGTTCATCCCAGTGATTTTCAGAACTGCGTTCCCCACGCTCGGGTCTTGCGTAACCCTCCATCTCCCTGCCGAGGCTCTGGGCTTCTCTGGTGGGTGACCCAGGGGCTGAGCTGCTGAAGCTGATGGACAGGTTCATACTGCTCCTGGGGCTCACTGTCAGGTTCAAAGTACACTGGATTGGTGGGGAAAGCGTTGAGTTAAGGTTTGGGTTTTTATTTTTTCTTTTTTTTTTTCTGAGCTTCCTCAGGGGACATAGATGAGAATGTCTTCTTTTTTTCCCAGAAGAGGCTCTGTTCTGTCCTCGGACCCCAAATGTCGGTGGCTTTGGATGTGTGCTACTCACTCCTGTACAGAGGGAGGCGTTTGTCCCGTGGCCTCATGTTTTGGAAAGGCTCTGATCAGAAAATGTTCTCTAGTGTCATGCAATAAACAGACCTAGAGGCAGAGGGTTATCTCTTCGGTACGTAGGAGGTGGTCTTTGCCCAGCTTGGGCTCTCCCCTCCGTAATTACCCCATCAGCTTTTCTGGTATGATTTGAGATGGCGGCATTAAGGGTCTTGCTGTATATGCAGAATGCTTCACTGATGAGTCTCCCATCAGGGTAAAGAAGGAGGGGAAGGCAAAGGGATGTGAAGCGTGTTTACTATTTCTGTGGTTGATTGAGGCATGTCTCATTGCCACTGAGCTTTGTGATACTGCTCAGCCCACCATTTTCTTTACAACTCAGAGGAAATGCTGGGCTTGAAGTTTCACCTGCTCCTGCAGTTTTTATGCAATTAGTTATCCCCAGGGAATGGCGCTGGGTCAGGGTGAGAGCAGACATAGCGATGCTTCCCAAAACACGGTGGATTCACTGGGAGGCAAAAGAGTTATTAGTCCTTTTGTGGGGGGAACTACAGTTTGAGTCACGTATTTATTGTGAATGAAATCTAATTTTCAGGATGCACCATGATTTTTTAATTTGAAGTAGCTCTAAAAGCTGTTATTATTAAACGATAATACCTGATCAGAAAGGGGTCGAGTTATCAATTGTGAATGATTTATCTGACAAATAACAATAGCTTTTTCTCATGTTTAGAGATTTTCTGCAAACTGACCCGACTCTGTGGAAACTAGGTTTTTTTTTCTGGTTTGGTTGAATCATAGAATCATTAAGGTTGGAAGAGACCTCCAAGATCATCGAGTCCAACCGTCAACCCAACAACACCATGCCCACTAAACCATGTCCCTAAGCGCCTCATCTACCCGTTTTTTAAATACTTCCAGGGATGGTGACTCAACCACTTCCCTGGGCAGCCTCTT